CCCCCCCCCCCCCCCCCCCCCCCTCACAACGCCAGGGGGAGGACACATTGCCCCTACTGCAATTGCATTGTGTCTGCTGCCCCCTAGTGACTGCTGTTGGCCACTGCAGCCTGAGCTGGGGAAATGCTGTCCTAATGCTCCCTGGTGGTCCTTGTTGGCCGATGCAGGGCCCCCTCTAGAGCCCACCCCACTCCCTGATACAACCTCTTATTTTCCCCTCCAGGCACCCTTTCCATGCTGGAGTGTAACATCTTCCCCGGGCTGCCCTATGACTACCTGGACACGGAGGTGAACCTCTTCCTGCTCCCCTTCATGGACGCTGACGCCGATGAGACCCTGCCCAAGTCAGGTGGGTACTTGGGACCCCCCCACCCCCAGGGTCCTCCAGTCTTGTAATGCTACTGGCATCCTTTGGGGGTGCCCAACTTAGTGCTTCCAGGGCTGCAAGTTCCTGCCCCCTTGCCCCTCCAAGGGGGCCGTTTTGACCGCCCGCCACCTGCCGTTACAGCCCCCGGGGGTGGCCCCCTCTTCTCACTGCTGCCGGGCTACAAGGGCCACCCCAGCTTCCCCTCCCTGGTGGCCAAACTGCGCAGCCAGATCATGTCCATGGCACGGCCTCAGCTCTCTCACACCATCCTCACAGAGAAGAACTGGTAGGACTGGGAGGAGCCGGTCTTTGGCCGGTGATGGTGGGAACATCGTGATGCCATCTGGGAGGCTTGGGCTGCGGGGTAGGTAGGGAAGCAGGGGGTTATGGGTCAGGGATTATGGGTAGGGAGCAGGGGGTTATGGGTAGCTGAGTTAACTGGGAATGTATGGGAACCAAGGGGGTTCTGGGTAGGGGTCAGGATCAGGGGATTGGAACAAGTAGGTATGGAACAAGTTCAGAAGCAAGGGCTTCTGGGTAGGGGAGCAGGGCACTGTGGGTAGGGGAATGGGATTGTGCATAAGGAACTGGATCAGGGATGGTTCTGGGTAGATAAGCAGGGCATTGTCAGTAGGGAACAAGATTGGGAGCAGGGGGTTTGGGGTAGCAGAGGAGGCAGCTGGTAATTTAGAGGGAGTGGGTATTGGCACGGGCTTTTGGGTAGGAAACAGGAGCAAGAGCAGGGGCTTCTAGGTAGGTGGCAGGACAGAGCAAGGGGGGTTCTGGGTTATGCAGAACAAGAAGTGGTTCAGGAAGCAAAGGCTTCTGGGTAATCATGGGAGAGGGGCAGGGCTCTCTCTTACTTCCCTTTTTTGCCCCCCTCTTCTTTTAATTTTTTTTGGCCCCTGGTAGGTTCCACTATGCAGCGCGGATCTGGGATGGGGTGAAGAAGTCATCGGCGCTGGCAGAGTACAGCCGTCTGCTGGCCTGAGGACCCCCTCCAGGACCCCCCAGGGGTATCTAACCCCCCAGCCCAAGGTGTGGGACAGCAGGGGCTCCAAAGCCCCTTCCCCCACCTCCGGGAGACCAGTGGCCCCAGCAGCTGGGATTGGAAGTGAGAGGCAACTGTGTTCCTACCACGTGGCTCTGAGCCGGGGCCAGAACCCAGGTGTCCGGGTTCGCTCAGCCCCCTTCTCGCTGGACACGGGACCCAGGCAGCCGGTGCTGCTCACCTGTTGCTGAATAAAGCTGCTCGTTTCTTTAAGGCTCTGTGTGTTGTATGCGAGGTGGAGCCTATGGACTAGGGGTGGGGATTATTGGGGAACGTCCACCCCCCCACCTCACAAATGCTCCTCAGTGCCCATAGCTGTCCAATGACAGCAGGTACAGGGTAGGCTGTGGTGAAGCCCCACCCCCTCCCTTGGCTCTGCCCCTTCCCTGCTGGCTTTGCCTCCCCTGTGGAGACCAGGAGGGCTCCCTGGGAGGAGCCAGAGGTCATGACTGCTCCCAGGCTCCTCCCAGTGCCATCAGTCCCTGCCCTGCTGCCTCAGTGGCCATTTTGGCCTCCTGGATGCCTAGGTTCACCCTGAAGGTCCCCAAGGACCTCACACCACAGCTCCTGAGCCAACAGGGCCATGTCACATATTGGGGACATGCACCAGAGTAGCCACCCCCTGATGCCAATGATGCCATCCAGATGCCCCTTTCTAATGCCTGCTTGGCCACCAGCGCCCCCTCCCATGACCTCAGCAGCTCCCCAACCGAAGCTGGGTGTTTCAAACTCCATCTTCAAGCTGCCAGCCAATGCCAGGAAGCCATGGGTGCTCAGACGATAATCGGAGGCCATGAAGACCTTGGGTTGACCAACACTTGGCCAATGCCTTCACATCCATCTTGGCATAGCTCTTTGAGAGACTCAGCTCCCAGTAGGCCCTGGTGGGGGTGGGGGGGACACGGACATGGTCTTCCGATACAACACCTCGCTTTGGATCGTGGGCCTAGACAACGGTATGCATGGAAACACCCTTGAGATCACAGGAAGTTGGAAGCCTTAGGCCTCCTCTTCCAGTTGGTCTCGCCTCCAGGGAGGCCCCAACCTGGCTCAGTCTTGACCATTAGCTGGGGTTAGAGATTGGGTGGGGAGGGTGCTGATCTGGGCCCAGTCCCTTAGGGCTTGGGGGGGAAAGTGTATGGGAAGGGTGTGGGGCTGTCTACCAGGGCAGTTGCAACCCCTGCACGAACCCACCCCCAGCCTCTGCCCTGTTCTCCTGCTTCATTACCCCTGCAGTGGAGGAGTGCTGTATTGGTGCCAACTACACCCTGCCTGCCTCTCTCCCCCACCCCACTGCCAATAACCCACTCGTGCAATCACAGCTTTGCAGCACAAAAAGGGGCAAAACACGTTGTGTACAAAGGCCTTTAGTCCAGCATCTTCAAAGCATTCTTGTAGTCAGGGCTGTCCCTAAGGGAGGGGGAGGGGCGAATTGGGGTGACCACCCCAGATCCCACATTTTGGGGGGGACGCAGAGCCAGGTAGAGCGGCCATGGAGACTCCATGGAGAGAAGGTAAGAATTGGGGCTGAAGCTGAAATTACTGGTTTCAAACAGGGACTCTTGAGTGCTGGAAATTCATCCCCAGGTCCCATAGAGCAAAGACACGGGGTCTCCCTGTGTGGGCTAGGGGCAAAGCGCCCTCACAGTTTGCTTGGCGAAGCGAGGGGGCTCTGCCTCTCTTCCTTGGTGCCCAGCCGGACCCCTGCAGTAATGAGATGGTTATTACATGGACTTCTTCCCCTCCGCTTTCAGAGCTTGGTGTAGGACCTTCTGGGTGTCCTTGGCCAGGTACCCCACTGCCTTCCGCAGCAGGGCGTAGGTGGGGATGAATGCCAGCCCAGCAGATACCAGGCAGCCAACAACGGTGAAACCCTTCCACCTGCCCACCAGTATGGCTGCAGCACTGGCTGCATCTGCCATCAGCTTGAGCCATGGAACCCGTGTCACTCCCGGGTGCTCCCTCACAGCTTGCAGCTCACCCACGGGCTGCCCCACGCGCCAGGCCAGTGCAGCGAGGGACCGCTCATCCAAGCCGAAGCTCTTGCAGTAGCGGGCAAGGTGCGCCCGGAACAGGAAGTAGGTGCAGATGAAGGACAAGCCGGGGATAGGAAGGGCAGCCAGGAGGCCACTCAACAGGGTGACTTTCCAGACCTCCCACATCAGGGAGGATTGCTTCTGGTCCAGGATGCGTGAGCACATGGGGAGATGCCGGAAGAGGGATGCTTGTCTCCTGATTGCTGGCAGCTCCTTCTTGAGGATTTCCTGCAGGAGGGGGAAGTTGTAGCGGTTGGGCTCCCAGTTGGCCACCACAAAGACCTGGGGTTGGGCCACCCCCTCGCCTCGCAGGCCCTGGTCACAATCCTGCCAGATGCGGTGAAGTACCTCAGCCTCATTAAAGCTGCCTGGACGTTGCCTTCGGGAGGCCTCTAAGTCCAGGTCCACCTTGGTGCGGACAAAGAAGAACCGCCGGCCCAGGCCCTCAATGCTGTGGGCCAGGTTGGCATGGGCCGAGCGGAAACGTTGGGAGCCCACGACGATGAAGAAGTCATAGTGGCTGAGGTCAGGCTCCTTCTGGGGGGCACTCAGTGGGGTCTCCACCCCCGGCAGCTCCCACAGGGTCACGAGGGGCAGGCCAGGGTGGCTGTAAGGCATGGGGTCCTGCTGCCCACCCACCAGCCCGGTCTCAGCTGCCCCCTCGTCTTCCTCCCTGAGACCCCGCAGGGCATTGATGAAGGAGGATTTCCCGGCACCTGCCTCGCCCACCACTGCGATGTCCACGGGCTCATGAAGGAATGACTCAAGGGGCCTCTCATGCACATGGAAGAGGGCTTTAGCCAGGTCACCCTCATGGACAGCTTCTCCAAAGGCGTCTGAAGCCATGGTCACCTTGGAGAAGACCAGAAGAAACCAGCTTTGTTATTGGGTTGATACTGGACCCACAGCCCACCCAGAACCCCTAGGACGTGGGACCTTAAGAAAAGCCATGTTCTCTGCAGCTGATTGTCCTGACAACATGTGTCATGGTGGTTTCAGGGCTCCTTCAGAAGCACTGGCTGTTGGCTACAGGGAAGGCTGGGGATTTTGACTGGGCTATGCCAATGCTCCTGCTGGGACCAAAGCTGGAGGGTCCTCACTAAAGGGTCTTTCCCCTCTGTTCAGGGTCAGACCAATGCCAGATTTGGGGTCAGGAAGGAATTTTACCCCCTGGTCAGACTGGCATGAACCGTGGGGGTTTGCCTTCCTCTATAGCTGGGAAGTGGCCCTCTACTTGGGATCTTAAGTGTATATTAACAACATTTCATAGAAGCAGGACATTGGCTGCCATTGTTCCTCTGCTTTCTCTGGGGCAGGTTCGGGTGTTAGGTCTGTCTTGTGTCAGGGTTGACGGTGGTCTTACGTGGAGTTTAGATGATGGAAGTGTCTGGGCTGATTTGGACAGGGATGTAGTGGTTGAACTAGACATAACTTCTGGAGGTCCTTTCCAACCCCACTTCTCTATGATTGCTTAGAGGACCAGGCTTCATAGACTTCAGGGGTGCCTGGATGCAGCCCATAGGGCTTCCTGGGGGTCTACAAATTTGGTAGCAGTATTAATTGCTGTTCCCCTATTGCCAAATGCCTGGACCTGTAGATGTGATTGTTTAGTTTTGCTAAGAGGTTGGACAATGGATCTGTTTGAGATGGTTTGGACAGGGCTGATCCTGCCTCAGGCAGGGGGTTGGACTAGATGTGACTTCTGGAGATCCCTTCCAGCCCCGCTTCTCTATGAGTCTATGACTATGAATTCTATGAGCTCTGGAGGTCCCTCCCAGCCCCACTTCTCCATGTTTCTATGATTCCTCCATCCCATAAGATGGATCCTGTAGGGCTTTGCTGGTTTCCATTTGAGGCCGGGAAGAAATTTCCCTCCTCCCATTTCTATGGACATCAGGGATTTTTTTGCATTGGGTGTTGGCTACAGCCTGGACTGGGAGTTGGGACTGCGGTGTTATTTCAGATTTCATAGGGCTGGAAGGGACCTTGCAAGAACATTGAGTCCAGGCCCTGCCCAAGGGGTAGGAAGTCAGCTGGGGTCAGATCACCCCAGCAAGATAAGCATCCAAGCATTTCTTAAAGGTATCCAGAGTAGGTGCTTGCACCACTTCTGGGGGGAGTCTATTCCATACTCTGGAGATTTGGACAGTAAAGCAGTCTTCCCTTCTGTCCAGTCTAAAAGGGTCTTCCAGCACTTTGTGACCATTAGACCTTGTCTTCCCTTGGGGTGCCCTGGTGAACAGACGTTCTCCCAGATCCTGATGCACACCCCTTATATAATTATAGGCTGCCACCAAGTCACCCCCGAGCCTTTGTTTCTCCAGGCTGAAGACTCCCGTACCTCTCAGCCTCTCCTCATAAGACCTGTTCCCTTGACCTCTAATCATACATGTAGCTCTCCTCTGGACCCTCTCAAGCTTCTCCACATCCTTTCTAAAGTGTGGAGCAGAGAATTGGATGCAGTACTCCATCTTTGGCCTCATCAAGGCCGAGTGAAGCGGAAGGATGACTTGTTGGGTCTTGCTAAGTGATGCGATTTAGCATACCCAATGGCTCCTGGCTAGAGGGTCTTGCTCTTCCACATGTAGGATCATAGGAAAGTCAGGCTAGAAGGGACCTCAGGAGGTGACATTTAGGCCAGTTCCCTGGTCAAGGCAGGAGCATCCTTGACTAAACCAACCCAGCCAAAGGTCCATCCAACCTGCTCTTGAAGCTTTCCAGCAGTGGAGATTCCCCCACCTCTCTGGGAAGCCTGTTTCAAAGCTCAACCACCCCCAGAATCAGAAAGTTCCTCCTTATCTCCAGCCTCAGTTTCCTGTCCTGCAGCTTGAGGTCATTGCTCCTAGCCCTGTCCCTTGTGGGTACAGATAAAAAGCCCTTCTCCATCCTCTGTATCATAGCCCTTCAGGGATCAGACAACTGTGATCAAATCCCCTGTCTTCTCTTCTCCAGCCTCAGTCACCCTAGTTCTTTCAGTGTATCCTTAGCAGTCCTCCTTCCAGAGGTCCCAAATAATTTCTGTTGCTCTGTGTTGGACTCTTTCCAACCTGTCCACCCCCTTCTTGAAGGGTGGGGCCCAAACCTGGATTCAGGCCTCTAGGGGGGGATTTCCCCCATGCTGAACAGTGGGAGAATCACTGCCCTTGACTTGCAAGTGGCACTCCTGTAAATACAACCCAGGAAGCTGTTGGCATTTTTTGCAACCATTGGTCAAGAGGCTGTTGAGTAGGATGGACAGACCCTTGGCTGGGGGCTGGGCCAGATGTAACCCTGAAGGATCCAGTCAGCATGACTTCATAAAGTCATAGAGAAGTGGGGCTGGAAGGCACCTGCAGAGGTCACATCTACTCCAACCCCCTGCCTGAGGCAGGATCAGCCTTGTCCAAACCATCTATACAAGTCCATAACCATAGAGTCACAGAGACATTGGGCTAGAAGGGACCTCCAGAGGTCACATCTACTCCAGCCCCCTGCCTGAGAGAGGATCAGCCCTGTCCAAACTATCCCAGACAAATCCATCATCAAACTGTAACTACAGTCAACCCTGACACAACACCAGACATCACACCACAGGGAAAGCAGGGCGACTGAGGCAGCCAATGCCTTGGTGCTGTACAAGGTTGTCAGTATACGCTCCATAGATCCCAGGCAGAGACTGTGCCCCCGCTACAGAGGATGGCAAAACCCTCCCAAGTCTGTACCAGTCTGACCACAGGGGATTTCTTCCTGACCCCAAAATCTGATGATCTTATATTAGTAGCAATTTTCAATTGCTGATTTTTAGGGAAAAGTAGGAGCAAGGGATAGGACCAAATAAGGCCTGTTATTTAGAAAAAGAAACGAGAGAGAGAGATCCCTGGTGACAGCAGAACCCATCTCAGAGGAAAAAAGGATTTGAACCCATGTCAAGAAGAGCCAAATTGGTCCATAAGCTCATGGAGAAGGCAGGGCAGATTTGCACCTTATAGACTAAAAAAAAAAAAAAAAAAAAAGCAACAAAAAAAGCAGACATGGCTAGCACAATCAACCTTGAACTGTGCTCCCACCCGCCCCCAGCTGCTTTGGGTTTCAGTATAGCTGTCAGCTTCCAAAGGCCTCGTCAATGAGCTGTTGGGGGGGAGGGGAAAAAGACTATCAAACATCACATTCCAGCTCTGAGCAAGCAGAAATCATGATTTTTTTTTACTTTACTGCTGCTCTAAAAACTTTTTATGTTGCTTATTGTACCGTTCTGATTACAAGCAGACCTTGGAGATACGCCAGAGATATGTAGCCCTGTAGCTTGGCAGCTATTTTTAAGGGCAAAATCCAGCCTTTCCCCTCCCAGAATATAAGTCAATCAAGTCCCTGAAACTTTCCAGCCTTTGCACAATCCCACAGAAGAATTGAACACACAAAGAAAAAGGAGCAGAGGGAGGTGAAATGCTTCCTCCGCCTGACAAAGGGTGCTTGTGCACAAAAGCTTACTAAGAAGAATTTTTCCAACTACTTGAGTTGGTCTAATAAAAGATATAGTATTTACCCAAAGAGCCTTGTCTTTCAAAATAAGAGGCATTGGGAAAAGTTTTTCTGATTGGGTGTTTTTACCACACACACACACGCGCGCACACACACACACACACACACACACACACACAGGTCGACTGAAAGTCAAGGGCAATGTTTGTAGGGAGGGGAAGGGGAAAAGAAAGGCTGAGTGTTACCAGGAAAGAGATGGGACCAGAGTGGGAATTTTCTGGCTGGACAAAGAGGAAGAGAAGTTTCCCAAACTGTATAGTGGGAAAATAGTTTGGCGTGAACAGGCTGAAGCTGCCCAGGCCCTCCCTGTTCCACTGGCGTGGACCGGAGTTTCCTGGAAAGGCCAGGATTGGTCTGGTTCTGCCTATAGGAGCGAACAGGAGGTATATTAGCCTCAGAAATAACCATAACCCTAATCATAACCCTACCCGTAACCCTAACCCAGTTCTCAAAGCCCTTGAGAATACCAGGGCTCACCGTGGCTGGTTTGACAGGATGGTTCACAGTGGTTCGGGGAGGAGATGAGTGCCGGTGTGTCTACACATGCGTTGTCCGTCCGTCTCTGCCAGCTTCCTCCTTTTTGTGAGAGTGTCTCTTATTCCTCCAGACTCCTGCTTGAGTGGGGCAGGGTCTCGCACTGTTTTAGGGCACGGTGAGGGGGCCTCTGGCCTGCCAACCTGGACGCCCGGCTTCTTCCCGTGGCCTGTTGCTTTCTGTTTCATTTTCCTCCCAGGCCCTCCCCTTCTCCCCAATGGTAGCAGCAAATAGGGACACACATGATAAGTCTGTGGGCGGGGCACTGCATCCACCCTGCAGTGATGGGGAGGGAGGGATCTGAGCTAAGATCCCTTCCCCAACCCCAGGCTTCACAGAGTGGTGCCATCTGCCTGGGGGGGCGTGGGGGGCAGGGGTGGTGGAGGGGGTGATACAGGGTACACACACTGCACCATAAACACACATGCCAACAGAATCCAGGTTTCTGGAAGATACACCCACACACATACCCCTCCCCACTGCAAAAAAAGTGTCTGGGATGCACACACACAGAACTCAGGCATCCAGGGCACATACACAGAACTCAAACATCTGCAAAATACACCTCCTCCCCAAAGTGTCTGACTCACACACACATGGGCACACACCCAGCCCCCTCAGGTGGTCTGAGGTACACACACACAGAACCCACGTGTCCAGGGCAAGCATGCAGAACCAAGCATGTGGGAAATACACACACACACACACACACACACACACACACACACACACACACACACACACCCCTCAGGTATCCAGGATACACCCACCCTCCCCGCCCCACACACAAATTATGAGTGTCCAGGACTTGCATTGACACAACTCCGGCATCTGGGGCACACGCACACACACACACACACCCCCCAAGCATCCAGGATACACACACACGAGTCACACACTTTTTTTGTGAGTTGCTTCTTGGACTTTACAAAGGCTGTTATCAGCTGCTTGGGGACACAAACAGGAAAACCACAGACTTAATAAATGGGGTGTGTGTGTGTGTGTGTGTGTGTGTGTGTGTGTGTGTGTGTGTGTGTGTGTGTGAAATGGCTCAACAGGTTTCCATTTCACCTCTTGAGAGGACATGGCCCCCAGATGCTTTGGCAAAGAAACACCACTCAGTGCATATTGCATTAAAGTTTATTACAACTGGATGTGAAAAATCAGGTGACCAAAGTGCCTCCAAGAAGCTAAGCTGCCATCGATGACACTCACCCAAATAATTAGGAGCCCAGCATGTTCACCACCAATGCAGAGCCAGCTTCAACACATGAAGCATCGGCATCAACCCCAGCTGGAGGCCAAATCACCATGACCCATGTCCAGTTAATTCTTTCCAAGAGCACAAGATGATGGCTGTTCATCTGGGGCTACTCCACCTACTAGATCACGGGTTCTCAACCTCCTTAGACCCAGGCTCCCACCCTATTAGAGCCAAGACCCCCCTCAGAAAATGCCCCCTCTTTGCTTTCACTTGTTCCTTGACCATGGAAAAAAACAGAGAAAATCCAGTATTTCCTGGACCATCACAGCTACATCGCTCCAGAGGAGTCAAGCAAAAAGCAGATGTTAAAGAAGCCTCTGATCAAAGTGTCTCATGTCCTTGGCAATGAGACCTCAATGCTAAGTTTGAATCCCAGTGAGTGGGGTTTTGTCGTGGGCAGCCATGGCATCTCCACAGGTGGAGTTAGGATTTTGAAAAGGTGGGTAGGGGCAGCGTGGTACATCATTTCATATTGGTGGGCAGTCCTGAACACCCCTCAACTTTTTGCTGGGTGGGGTGTATCACTACATTCCTCCCTGTGGATACTCTGATTCCAGAAGCAGGTCAGTCTGAATCACAAGAGAGTCATAGAGAAGTTGGGCTGGAAGGGACCTCCAGAGGTCATAGAGTCTGTTGTGTCTTCTTGTGTTTTCCTTGCACTGTCCCTTGAAGGCCAAAGCTCTCATGTTGAGCACTGCAGGGTTCACTTTGCTTGTGGCAGGTTTTGCAGCACAGGGGCTCCATTTTCTCTGCCATGAAGAGCCAGAGGCTTTCTTGGTTCCTCTCCAAGGACTAGACTGGGTCAAGTCAGAGGCAGAGCAAGTATAAATTCTGCACACATCTACTGAGGGCAATTGTTAAGATCCACCTGGATATGATTCCAGAGAATTATAATAATAAATAATTGTTAGTTCAACCCAGGAGTGTCCAGAGTGTTGTTGCTGAACTCACAACATATCATCTGGTGACGAGGATGGGATGCTTTGCTGAAAAGACACCCCTAGATTGTGGGACGACGTTCTGAGACCAGGGTGTGTTTTGTGATTAGAGGGAAGTTTTCTTCTTCTTCTTTTCTCTCTATTACGGCTGATGTTAGTTAGAATGGTGAATATAGAAGGGGGCGTATAGAAGAATTTGATGTGAGCCAGCCGGCTTCATGGGTCTCTTATGCAGAAAGGCTATCCTATTACCTGGAAGCAAACAAAGTGGAAAACCCATCTCAGAAGCATGTGATCCTCCTGACAGTCTGTGGTGCCAAAACATTTTCCATTGTTTGTTCCCTCATAGCACCTGCCTTACCAAACACTAAGTCTTATATGCTGAACTATTACCCTGCTAAAGGCACATTTTTGCCCAAGGCTATCTGTTACCCTGCAGAGATTTCATTTTCATTTTCTGAAAGGCCAACGAAGGCATAGCAGGTTACCTGGCTGAGCTCCGTCAGCTTACTAAATTTGGTGAGTTCAGTGATCTCCTGGATGGTCTGCTTCATCACCATCTTGTCTGTGGGCTTCAAGATGAAGCAATCCAATGTCGCCTGCTCTCTGAACCAAATTTGACCTTGGCTACTGCACAAGAAAAAGTTTTGGCAGCTGAAGCAGCACCCCATAATGTGAGAAAAATTCACCAGGCATTTTCCAGCAATGTTCACTTACTCCAAAAAGATCAGGAATCAGATCAACACCAGCAAATTCAGTGGATTTATACCCTCACCAACAGCACCATGTAAGCCAATTAATCCATGGACATGCTTGAGTTGTGGCAGCCAACATAGATAAAGGGAGTGCAGGTTTAGGAAGGCGGAGTGTCATGCCTGCAAGAAGAAGGGTCACATAGAGAGCTTGAAGGCTGCTTGAAGGCCAGTTCCAGGAGACAAAAAGACCGTGGCAAATGCATTCGTTCCCAATCCACTCACAGATTACAGTCCTCCCCAGAACATGAGGCACAAAAACTATATCTGATTAAAACTGTTGGTGTTGTTGAAACTCAAGGTTCTGAGATGATTGCAACTGTAGTAATAAATGGAAAAAAGTGCAAAATGGAAGTGGACTGTGTGGTGGGCCAGTAGGGGGCGCTCCTGCATTGAGCCACCCATCTCACTGCGCCCGACCACTTTCCAGGCTCCGAGTGCCTCCCTGGGGGTGCCTCACGTCTGGCTGACCCCCTTCCTGGAGCACACCCGCTAGCCGGGGGTAAAAACTGCCACCACCCAGAGCTGGGCTTTATTCTGGCTCTGCGCACCTTGGAAAACACAGGCCTAGTAGCCCTTGAAGGTACTTGATTCACTTGAAGAACTTGGGGTGCTTCCCTCAGTCAGAAGCACAAGTAGTGGTCTCCCTTAGTCAGCTGAACCAAGGGGGCCCCAAGGCATAACCTAGACCCTCTCCCAATGAGTCTCCCACGCTAGGTACAAAGGAGAACTGTATTGGTTACAAGGGGCAGGGTTGGAATAGGGTACAGGGTAGAGGAATATCAGAGAAATCCCATAGAGCAAACTGGCATGGCTGGGTAGCCTTTCATCACGCATCTGAGTTACTGCAAGCTATGTATCTAGTTGGATCTCAGGTAGCTTACTCACAAGGATCATCCAGAGGCAGGTGGAGATTCCCCCTGGAGGCAGGCAGATCCTTGATCATGAGTTTCGAGAGAGAGAGCAAGTTTCAGATGGTCCAGCTCTTCTCTCTCTCTCTCTGAGTCTTCCTCATGGCTGCTGCCCCCTCCTCCTCCTGGGCAGTCCTTAACTTATATAGCCCTTGTGACCTCATTTACCTGGTCCAATGGAGGCCAGCACCTGTTGACTGTCAGCCAACCAATTTGAAATGCATCACTGGTTGCTGGGCAGACTGGCAGTTCCTGGCTCCCCAGGGAGCCCAAGCCTCTCACCCATGTATGTGATGCCAGTCACGTAGGAAGAGGGAGCAGATATCCAGCTCAGGGTACCTAAAGAAATAGGATAAGGTGTGTACCCTCTGTAGGGCCCATCTTAACCAAATTGTCACAGAGCAGAGTTTTGGGGGAGAAGCAGAGGTGGCCTTCTGCCACAGACTCGGGTTCAGGAGTATCTCTCAGATGAAAACACATTCTTCCAGTTGTTTTGGCACCCTCTCCCCAAGTTATTGAAACCTGAGTGCCACCTACATGACTACAATGGACAGATTGTGGAAACTTTGGGTTGCTGCAGTGTAGCTGTCCAGTATGGATCTGTTAGACAGTGTCTGTGGCAGAAAGCCACCTTTGTTTCTCCCCAAAAAACTCTGCTCTGTAACAGTTGTGATGAGGATGGGCCCAGCAGAGGATACATACCTTTACCCTATCTCTTTGGGTAACCTGAGCTGGATACATTCCTGAGGGAGGGGGGAAAACTGCTCCCTCTGCCTACGGGACTAGTATCGCATACCTGGGTGAGAGGTTTCCTTCCTGGTGGGCTAGAGTCTGCCCGGCAACTAGTGATGTATTTCAAATTGGTTGGCTGACAGCCAACAGGTGCTGGCCTCCATTGGACCAGGTAAATGAGGTCACAAGGGCTATATACGTTAAGGATCCAGCAGCCATGAGGGATACTCAGGAACAAAAAAGAGCTGTACCATCTGAAACTGGCTCTATCTCTAAAAACTCATGATCAAGGAACCCCCTGCCTCCAGAGGGGATCTCCACCTGCCTCTGGATGATACTCATGAGTAAGCTACCTGAGATCCACCTAGGTATATAGCTTGCAGTAACTCAGATGCGAGATCAAAGGCTACCCCAGCCACAGGAGTTTGCTCTATGGGATTTCTCTGATATTGCTCTACCCTGTACCCTATTCTAACCCTACCCTCTGTAACCAATAAAGTTCTCCTTTGTGACTGGTGTAGGAGACTTATTGAGGGGTGGTTTTAATTATGCCTAGGAGGCCTCTTAGGTCTGCAGACTAAAGGAGACTATCTTTTTTGGCCCCCA